GGATGGCGGCGGCGGCGCGACATGGCGGCCGCGCTGAGCCGAGTGTCTCCCCCGCAGCTCAACATCTCCTTCCCGGCCACGGGCTGCCAGAAGCTCATCGAGGTGGACGATGAGCGCAAGCTGCGCACCTTCTATGAGAAGCGCATGGCCACCGAGGTGGCGGCCGACTCGCTGGGCGAGGAGTGGAAGGTGAGGCCCGTGTCCCGTGCCGGAGCGCCCGGCGCCGGCGTGCGCGTCGTCCAGCCGCGGGGCCCCGAGCCCGCGGGGCGAGCCCAGCGTGTCCCGCAGCGCGGCCTCGCGCCCGTGCGCTGGAGCCGATCCGTGAGCGCTGCCCCGGTGTGCGGGCTGCGCTCGGGGTATGAGAGGCCTCGTGCTAGACCTCATGGAGGGGGTTACAGGAACAGAACCGTGAGCAGGGGCTGGTGGCCAGGGTGTCCCTGCCTGAGCCGGGGTTGAGCTGTGATGTCCAGAGGTGCCTCCATCCTCGGCGAGGGGAGCGGGATGTTGGTTTCTCTCCCCACGGAGCAGCYGCAGACACGGCTGCCAGGAGGCGCATGGAGCAGCTGCCCGGCCGGGGCAGCGCTGCGCYCGTGTCTGCGCCAGCTGCAGCCTCTCGGGCGCCCGCTCCTCTCGGAGCGGAGGTGCGGAGCAACTGAYGACACACGTCTGCATCCACAGGGATACGTGGTGCGCATCAGCGGCGGCAACGACAAGCAGGGCTTCCCYATGAAGCAGGGCGTCCTCACGCACGGCCGCGTGCGCCTGCTGCTCAGCAAGGGCCACTCCTGCTACCGCCCGCGCAGGACCGGCGAGCGCAAGCGCAAGTCCGTGCGCGGCTGCATCGTGGACGCCAACCTCAGCGTGCTCAACCTGGTCATCGTGAAGAAAGGTGAGAGCGGGGATGGGGCCGCGCAGCTGCCCGCGCAGGACCCTTACCTGCGTGTCAGAAAAAGGCATTTTAGGTGCAAGCTTAACTAACATAGCAAAACTTTTTTCCAAGGTGAAAAAGATATTCCTGGACTGACAGACACAACCGTGCCCCGTCGCCTTGGTCCCAAAAGGGCCAGCAGAATCCGCAAGCTCTTCAACCTCTCCAAGGAAGATGATGTTCGCCAGTATGTTGTGAGGAAACCTCTGAACAAAGAGGGTAAGAACTCTGGCTTTACCACTCTGCTTGTTACAGAAGTGAGTGGGGATGGCCAGTCTGCTGCAGAGAATGAACTGCACGGCCTGATAACTCATCTGCTGCTGCAGTCAACTGTCCCAACGGATCAGGCTGTGCATCCTGATTACGAAGTGGACACATTTTGTTTTCCTCACATTACTCTTTCTCTTTCCCCATCTCAAAGAGGAAAAAGAAAACATATATTTTAAACATTGTATAATCTCTAATTACATTTCCTAATGCTGCAGAATGTAGCCCTAGAATATTTTTTAGTAGAATTAGGTTGAAGAAGAGTATTTGAATATTTTGAAACAACAGCATTTGTGTGGTGGTGGTTGGGAATGAAAATAAAGGTAGATGCAGCTGAGACTTTAGGGGTATTTTTCGTTTGTGTTTCCCTGTTGCTGCAGCCTAAAATGTGCTTTTTTGGGGAAGGCACGGTTTTTGTTCTACCCAGTCTTTTCCAGCAGTCTTTAGATTGTGGTTCGGTGTTCTGTGTGGTCATGTGGTTTAGGAAGGGTGRGCAGTATTTTAGGAGAAATGATATGATAGTAATAGTGCTTGGACACCATGGAGAGTACTGGGATAACAGTGATTGACAATGCAGCTTTAGCGTCATGGGAGCTGTTCATCTGCTACAGGATGGAGTCCTGGCCTGGCAGACAGTTTTTTATTGTGGCTACTGAAAGTCATACAGGGTGAACAGTGAAGTCTTATGGATACACGTTATGTTTGTTTATTTGCTCATCAGGGCCTGTGTGGCTTCATTTCTTTAGATTTATATTTTAGTGTGAGAAAATTAATGAAGCTGAAAGTACAATGGTGTGTTCTGAAAGCAAGAGGGTGGCTTTCCATCCTTACCTACTTCTAGGGAAGGTTATGGGGAAGCATTGAAGGTGGGAAACAAGGGTTTCCTCACAAAGTTGCCCACATGTGGAGAGCAGTGCTTCACAGCAGTATGAACACTGCACACTTACTAAGTTGCTCTTAAATTCACCAGTAATTGATTATCCTTTCTATGAAATAAGCCAGGGTGCCGAACTGTGTGTTAGTGTAATAGTATTTAAAATAGCATTGCTGTTTAAAGTAAGTGGCGCTTACTGTTAGCAGGTTGGATAGGGGGTGCTCAGGGCTGTTTTGGAAGAAAACTGTTGCTTTTACTGATCAGAAGTTCTCTTTAGGCAAGAAACCTAGGACCAAGGCTCCTAAGATCCAGCGCCTAGTGACCCCTCGAGTTCTGCAACACAAGCGCAGACGTATYGCCCTGAAGAAGCAGCGCACCCAGAAGAACAAGGAGGAAGCAGCGGAATATGCTAAGCTCTTGGCCAAGAGAATGAAGGTGGGTGTTCATCCTTCTTGGCTGCATGGAGTCTGTAGGATCAAGGGGTTTGGTGATCTTGGCTCCACATGCACTACAGCTCGCTACTTCCAGAACCACATTAAGTCAGTGTTACGCAGGACGTGAGGAATGCCAGAATGCGAGTATAAGCGCCTCCAGTTAGGAGCATGTTCATAGGAATTGTCCTGTCCTGCCAGTCGGGGGGCCAGGCTGACTGCTCTGCMGTTTCTCTGAGGACTGAGCTTGAAGACAACGATACTCGAGCTCACAGTGGTGTCGTCACGGTCCTGGTGCCGGTCCAGGCATTTAAGTGGCTGGGGATGCAGGTTCCAGCAGTTGGCCTGAGTGGGAAGTGAAGAGCTGTCARTGCTGGTTTGTGAGCTTGGACATGGAAGGGCAGTGACTGCTTACAGAGCACTGCTAAAATTTTCATCGATGCTTTTAAAGTTTCATGACTTCCCCATGAGCAGTGCCTGAAAGCAGATAGGCTTTGTTCTGAAGTCTGCAGTAGGGCTTTCGTACTCCGGGTTGTGTTACCYCTCGGTACTGTGTTAAGATGCATAGGCCTCTACAGAATTCTTACCACCTGGCAGGAAGAGGATACTGGGTTTTGCTTTAATTACATTAGAAGTGATGATTGTAGTTTGTTTCCTTCAATTTGCATTTATGTGGGGTGTTTGTAGATGTCTTAAAGAAATACTTGATCATGGGCAACAACTCTTTACTAGTTTGTGCTTTTTCTTTTTCCCCCTCTCYAGGAGGCCAAGGAAAAACGCCAGGAGCAGATTGCCAAGAGGCGCCGGCTTTCTTCATTGAGAGCTTCTACATCTAAATCTGAGTCAAGTCAGAAGTAAAGATGTACATGATAATAAATGCCTTTTGTGGTTAACTTTCACCATGAGACTTTACAGTCCATCTCGTCACTGGTCATTTTTTAAAATCATTTTTCTGGACAAACTGCATTATACAGACTATGTTAGGACAGGAATTGTTGCCCTTGATGAAATTCTTTTTTGACAGGATGTAATAATCTTCATGCATTTGGTGAAAATAGCAAAGTTATGATAGTCTCAAGTATAAGATAGTAAAAACCTGTAGCCTTCATCTTATTTGGGGAAGACTTGAGTGYATTTTAATGCTCTCCTCCTGAAAACAGAACTAAAGTCTGTTGAGGAGTAAGCCACATATTAAAAGGTTTGATGGTGGTATTTCACTTAAATGTTAAAACTTTGCAGCCTGTATGTATTCTTAGACTGAGCTATGAGCAGATCTAGYGCTTGATGCGGTTGATAGGAGACTGCCTGTCAGGTGTTCGATGCAGAATGGGTTGTGCTAAACAGGTTGTCTCGTGGTGTCTTTGACCAAGTAGTCAGTGTCCTTCTAAGTTCTCAAATAAGTGTTTTTATTTTCAGTAAAAAGCACATTAAGTATTTATCAGTGGGAAAGTGATAGTGCATAAATGCTTTATTACCTTCTTGTGGGCATGGCAAACTTGCTTAAGCCAAGGTCTCATCTCGCTTGAAGCATTTTTTTTCCTGGAAAGTGAAATTCAGAGCCCTACAAACTAAAAGTTGCAGAACAAGACACTGGCTGGTGATAYGTTACAGGCCTAGAAAGGTTAAGTAAGTAGTCATCTTGAATCTAATTTGGATTAACTGATACTGCTCTGGGGTGGGGGTAGTTTCCTACTTCATGCTGCCACTGTCTAAGAGCAAGAGAATTATTTGAAAATAATTGTTGTTCAAACTGCAATTTAAGTTACTTCACAGTTCGGAGTCTGGAGCTCTGCTGAAAACAAAAAGCCCAGCTGAATCTTTAGTATGGAGAACAGAGGTTTGGGACACAACTGGGTTTTGCTGTTTGGTGGTTATTTCATGTCTCACCACACACTATCTGCTRTTGTAGTAGCCTGCACCTGGTAGGTATTGAATTCTGATAGTCACAGAACTAAAGGGGAAGGTAAAAGGCCAGAGGCAAAAATGCCTACTTGCTAAAAAATGCTTCTTGTCTAGTCCCCGGCTCAGAGCAGGGTCAGTTACTGCAGGTTGCTCAGGGCTCTCCAGCAAAGTTCTGAGCGTCTCCAAGCATGTATTTAACTTTGTGCCCTTAGCCTCTTCTGTTGCTGAGAAGAGCTTGGCTTTGAGTATTCCTCATCCTATATTTATATACATAAGGGAAAAAGAAAATTCCCCTGAGCCCTCTCTTTTTATACCACCTTTGTGACCCTCTYTGTTGGACTCGCATCTATAAATCCATGTCCTCCCTGTACAGGAGATGGCTAGCACCCTGTGTGTGGCCTCCTCCTCACTGAGTAAAGGGAACGATCAGCTCCTTGCCCTGGCTGCCAGTGCTCCCCGCACTGGGCTAGCTCGTGGTCACCTTGTCCACCAGGACCCCTCCGTGTCCCTCTGCTCTCCAGGTAACTGTCCCTGGGCCTGTGCTGGTGCAGGGGAATCTCATGCCCTGACTGCAAGGCCGGCTCTTTGTCCTCCTTGAACCTCTCATTCCTGTGTGGCCCCTGCTCCAGCTCTGCATATGTGAAAACRGGAGTTATTTGGCCCTCACAAAGCGGGAGAACCAGTGCTACCAAGCTGCTGGTGGTAGCTTGCAACTCCGAGGAACAGCATTTTAAACCAGACCCTTTGGCTACCGCAGTCCCTTGGTGGCACAAAAGCAACTGCACTGTTCTTACTCCCTCAGCTATCTCAGTCATGTTTCTGCAGGAACTTGCCTTAAGCACAGGCTCTGACCCCTGCTTCCTTACTGCTGCCTCTGTATCTCAGCGCAGTCCTGCTAAACCCTCCTTTAAAACACAAACCAACCCTGCTGTCTGTGCCCTCTCCAACGATACAGCCCCATGCCTGTCCCCAGCCGCCCCCCAAGAGGGCCCAAGTTGCCCGCACTGAAGCCAGGGCCGTCGCGCTCCGGCCCAGCCTCGCTCAGGACAGCCCTCAGTTCTGCCCCTCTCCAGGAGGTACCAAGGTGCAGCTGGTTCCTGGGGCGGCTCCCTGAGCAGCCCCAGCCAGAGCCGTCTTCACTGCCCAGCTCTGTCCCAGCCCTCGTCCTCCCTCACAGTTTCCCCGGGTGCTACCAGCAGTTCTCACCAGGCAGCCAGAAGAATCTGGGCTTGGTCTAGCTACAGCAGCCTTTTTCACTTTCAGATTAAATCCACTCAAGGAGGTAATTATTAAGGGCAAAAATGAAGATGAAAAATGGGAAGTTTCACCAGGGATTTGGATGTATTTTATTTTGGGAAATACATTAAAAATTGTTGTACTCTAAGATGCCTATACAAAACTCAGAATACAGAGAGTGCCCTTCCAACTCAAGATACATTTGTCAAATGTACAAAAACATTAGAGCAATACTTGTTAATCAAAGCACAGTAAATGGATGCCATCTTGCAACAGTTCAAACAATCTCTAAAACAGTGCAAATTTTATTGCATTATTAAAAAAACTTCCCCAACTCACTAAATTCTTAATTTATTCACACTACATCCTTTATCCCCATTAAAATACAGTTGTATCCCCATTAAGAGAGCTGTATCCCCATTAAAATACAATTGTATCCCCATTAAGAGTTGTATCCCCATTAAAATACAGTTTCTTAAGATCCTTAAAGGAGCTTAACATATTTCTAAAAACAGCAAACAATCCCTTTTATTTGCACCACTGATTGATGCAGACAGAAAGACAAAAAGAAAAATCAGTTACTCATCTCATATGCATGATAATAAACAGCATAGAAAAAAAAGAAGAAAAAAACCACAAGAGTTCAATTTAAGTGCTGAAACTGAGCTGTTAAAAGGACATGGATGTTATTTTTCTTTTGTAAAAATGACCAAGAGAAAAGTTGATATATGTGAGGCACCCTGAAGTTTTGATTAGTTAAATGAAAAAAAAGGTTAAAAACACCCAATCTTTGTTTTTAAAATTTACAGTTAATGTGAATAAGATGACTTCTCTACCATATAAAGGTATCTGCATTGATGCAATTGCTAAGAGTTTTGAAGAGAAACTGATGGGTAGATTCTTCAGTTAATTCATTTTTAACAAAATGTTTTAAAATACAGTTATATAGTCTAATTAATATACTTTGAAGTATTTTTTCTGTGTTGCAGCTAATCAAGAAAAGCAGTATACTAGTAYACTCAAGACAAAGTATAAAGTATATTCTTTTAGCTGAGGCAGTTCAGAAACCAGTATTTCAGTTACCATGAAATATAACAAGTCATTTACAACTGCAATTTGACTTCTTTTTCCATGCTTCAATAACATGAAAATTCACTTAGTTTTGTTCTAAGTTGTTTGCCAAGTTCTGAATTTAGTTTAAAGCACATTTACTAAATAACAGACTATCATTTAATTCTTTAAATTTGAGTTATACAATATGAAGACAGGCTATGTCTATAAGTAACATACATATGTTACTGGAACATGAGAAAGCCAATATTGCCAATATTGTACCAATAATGCAATCACATTCTACACATTCTCTTACATGTTCCTTCCAAACTGGATTTTGAAGTCGAYTCTATGTTATTCACTTACAGTTATTACACCTTGGTAATGTGCTGCAATATTAGTACACACAAATAAGAAGCTGGCCACCTAAGATCCTGATTTCAAACTTCGAAGATCACATTGTTTTAGTTCTCAAAACAAAACAAATATATATATATATATATATTTTTCCACGTACTACCCAAGCCATAAACATTTTTTTCATGATTTGATGATAGATGTAAAGTATTATCCTCTCAGCAAAACTGACTGCCATTTAACATTGTTAGGGCAACACTCAAAGAAATTCTCTGTGTGTTTCTTATYCGAACCTGTATTTTCTAACATACCAGGCTTCTTTGATACCCCATAACTTTTCGCCTCCACATACACAATCAGTTTGGTTTGCACCCACACTTTGTGCAACCCACTGCAGGTTTTCATTTCATTGGTTTCATTACCTGCAGCCATTTTCTTACTTCATATACAAGATTTTTAAGATATACAGCAGAACCAATCACTTAATCATGGCCAGTGAGTTATATGCCAGCTCGAGAATCTGGAGGCAAGAGGATGTTACCAAATGAGAAAAATATTTATTTTTCTACATCCACTAAGAACTAAGGCCAGACTGATCCATATCAGCTCCCCAACACTCCTGTCCAGCTCATTCACACATCAGATACTTGGAATTCCACGAGCGTGAAACAGAACAGGAGCATTTGGACTAGAGACCAAGTCATTCCAAAGGAGTCCAGTGATTTGCAGACAAAAATCTACTATGTTTTTAAATAGAATAATAAACATAATAAAGAGTTYGGAGGAGTTTTGAGGATTTTCCCTATTCATTTTTGGCCACATTTTCCAGGATGAATTAATGAGCCATGCTAACCTTTGTTCAAAACAAGCAAATAAACAAAACCCACATACTCTTTTCTCAGCCACACTCGGGACCCATTGCACATTCAAATAATGAAAGGCTAAAAATCTTAGCGTGCCTCAGTGTAGGAATATCTGGTGGTCTCTGCCTGTTTGCAGCAGACAGAAAAGGCACAGGAGGAGCAGGAGGTGCCTTTGAAAGCAGACATAGCAACACGGAAGTAAATTAAGACAACTCTTAATTCATTTTTTTCTTTTCCTTACTTTTTTTTTTTTTTTTTTTTTTTTTTTAAGGGATCTTCTTAGATGAGACTTTAATGAAGAAAGCACTATCACTGGTCTACTTTTGATTAGAATCACAATTTCACTGAAGAACCTGATGGATACTCTGCAATTAAAACTAGGCACCAAAACATCAGCCCTGGCTTACGGAGCTACAGCTCTGTTAGAAAGGTAACTGGGGCGGGCACAGACACAACCTGGAAGGAACGGAGGCGGGAGTCCCCCCACGCTGACAGGCCGGCGCACAGCGGAAGCAGGAGCCGGTTCGTGGTGCGCAGGAGCACATCCGTTCTTCTGGGGGAACCACGAGGAACCAGGCGAGCACCGCTCTGCCTCTGTCCTGGGGCCCTCTTGGTTGGTGTGTATGCACCAGGAAGGCCTAACAAACACTTAGGCCTAACCAGGAAGGCTTAACATACACGCTGTGACACAGTCTACCTTGGCTGTTTCTACAGCACTACTGCCACGTTGTCCTAGATTTTCAGCAACAAGGATAAGATTGAATTTCAAAGGTGTGCAAAGATATCAAGTTTGGATATCGCTTGGTTATCTAAGACAACGGAGAGGCTTTCTTTGTAATTCAATGAGATGGGASCATTTAAGAGTGCCTAAGACTTAATTATATGCAAGTTGTGTCAATTGTATGCTTTAGTTGTTGAACATTGGAAAAAGCATGTACCATTGTCTCATTAAGGTCGGTACAGAAAAAAATGCCATTTTTATTTTTAGAAGTAATAATCGTTTGCAGTAACACTTCAGAGAGATGTTTACTTTGAAAGCACAGAATTGTTTACTTAAATTACATACGAGAAAAGAAAATAAGAAAAATGAGACATTACAGCTGTATATTACAGGAAAACAGTTCTACTCTTCATTGTGATGCAAGTCACATATTGGCAAGAAACTATGTATAAGCATCAAAGAATAGAGGAGAAAAGAAAAAAAAAAAGAACTCATTAGGTACTTCTTCGCTTTTAGCTATTGAGAATACATTGTATTTTCAACAGGGGAAGCTGAAGACGCTGCCCAGGCTTTCTCTGCTAATTGGCTTAAGAACAGCACTTTCAGACAAAATGAAACAAGTCAGCCTATACTACAAGAATATTTGGAGAAAAATAGCATATTTGTTTTATAGAAACACAGATTTGCAGAAAAGGAAGCTTGTGTTTTTCATTTTTCAGCTGGTAGCCATTTCAGACCAAGAATGAGAATCCTTAAGTTTAAGGAAGTAGTATGAAGTGATTATATTTGTGCTCAAGTGRGATTACAGCTTCAGCTGTGCTCCTCTAATAAACTGCAAATACTTATCTTTTCTGTTCTCTCCAGGAGTAACACCATCAGAAAACTCTCATGTAAATTTCAGTAAAAGTAAGAATAAWTCTTACCATATAAATCTAATAACAGAAATCTTTTAGCCACAGAACAATGCCGAAACTTTTTTTGACAAAGATACAACTATTTTTGTCAGTGAGGCATATAAGGGGAGGAAATGTCTGATCACTAGAATGAAATGAAAGATGAAATTATCTTTGAAGATCATTCATTCAAGYCCTTCAGTTTTGTGTGGACACACAACCTGAAGACAACATTTATAAAWATACTTCTAATTGAAATATTGAATTTGGACGGTAAGTGCAAAATAAACCTCAGGCTACATGTGATAACAAAGGGGTGTTAAAAAWWTTTTTWAAWWAAAAAAAAAAARRRGGGTCAATGAAAGGACARAATCATGTCTAGTTAGTATCCAACTCCAAACGTTTAGTGTAAAAGCCTACCATTTCTCTGAAGAAAACATTGGTATCCTCACAGGATCTTCCTCTCCTTTTTTTTCTTCCTTTTTTCTTTCTTTTCTTTTTTAGGTCAGCCAAAGATCATTTAAAATATTGACTAGAACAAGTATCAGTAGGCACATAGCAGTTTTAGGTAGTGTAATCTGACAAAGGCAGTTACATTCCAACTTCCAAACCAAAGACTCATACATTTACATTCATAAATAYATACCACATACAAATGCACGATATCTCTCTTTAGATAAAGGACATTCTAAAGAAGTACTGAAAGGTCTTATGATTTTGTGTCAGAGAAGGACTTTTCACTAAAATAAAAAATATTAAAGACAAATATTGGTGAAAAAGCCACCAACTATATGCTTCTATTTAATCACCACCATTCTGAACAACCTGATATTGTGGCGTGGAGGGGAGGCATTTGGGGAATGAGTAAGAAGACATATGTACAAGGAAAGATGCAGATACATCACTGAAATCATCTCTTCCTATTAATATAAAATACATTATAGCATACATTAACATTTTAACATACTTTACACTGTTTCTCATGAGATGATAGGCAAAGTGTGTTGTAGTTGCATGAAATCACTGACAAATCGCTCAATTATCACCCTTTCTGGCATTCAAAAATATATGTATCACCACACTTGTTTTTTTCCACCTCTGCTTTTATCTTGCCAAAGTTCAATAGCTTCTTTTCTCCTTTTCATATTAAAGGTGCTCCAAAGCATTTCCTACAACACTCAACTCTGCTGCTTGGTGGAGCATCTATTTTCTGCATCTTTTCAAGGACATCCTTAGATAGAGCTTTAAGTGCAATTCTGTATTCACTATCAAAGACCTCTGGAACAGAGAGAACATAGTTGAAGTCATTCAAGGAACACTGAACATACAGTCCTGTTTGGGCATTTGTTTTTATGTAATAGTATACAGCAAAGGTATTCGGCTGAAATTAAGCACTGAATTTTTCTTTTCTGTTTTGCTTCCCAAAATATATCCTTACAAGAAACCTGAAAAGCATTTCCAGGCTGAAGCATCAGAAAACATAACATTAGCAATGCAGCCACTTTTATCATGACACAGCCTGCGTGTCAARTTCTATCAGGAACTCCCTGGCTGGCATAGCATCATCCAAACAGAAGTCACAGTTAAGGGGTTAGCAGGAAGGGATGGACACAAAATTCACATTCGGGTGGCAGAACAATGCAAGGGTCATCTCAGATATGTCCATCTGGGAAAGATGGGCAAGATTAGCAGCAAGTTTTCAGATATAAAGTATTAGAAATTAAGCTAATAAAASTCATTACTAGTTTCAATTAAAATGTCAAAATTAGTAGCCACATCTGACTTAGACTTTCGTAAAAGCAGCACCTACTCCCAACTGTACTCACTACCAAAATTCAGCAATTAACTTGCATTAAAAAAAATCCAAAAGATATTATTTATTACACTGTGTACAAAGAATTCATGCATTTCATGCAGAAATAGTATTTTACTTACCAATGTCAATATTCTCTCTTCCAAGAGACACCAGAGACAGGAAGAGGATTTCTCTATAAAAACTCCTAGGAAATATTTTGAGAGGTGAGTCAAAGAAAGTACCAGCTACCCTGAATTTAGAAACCCGTTGCCCAAGACAGTATTAACTTTGCTTTGTAGTTCCCACAAATGTTCTGTTAATTTTGCTTGCGAGGAAGATGACTAATCTACACAATTACTGGCATGGAAAATACTCAGATGTGAGAAAACTGTAACTCAGATTATGATAAAATGTCAAATCACTGCAGTTAAGCAGTAAATACAGCAATTATGATATATCACAGAGTCTCTATATTGAAAATGTCATAAAAACTTCAGAACAAGAAATACACCTACTTATTAAATTTTCTTTCCTGAAGGTGAAGACAAGTAGCATTTCATTTTCCAAAAGCCAAAATTTATCTCAGAAATTGATATAATGTAACAATTCAATATTACTCTTTTCTTGCRGATTTGAGAAAATTTCTTCTTTAGGCAGATTTATGTTTAACAACAACAAACTACAGCACCAAAGATCAACCTATCATGACAGACTCTTGAATGTATCTACTACAATTTACAGTAAGGTGTTTCTGGTGTGATGGCAGCACATGAAGCCCTCTTCAAATTGCAATGAAGATCACAAAAGAAACACAGTATTTTCACACGCCTCCCTTTGCTGACTACACTACATCAACTTTTCTTGAACAGCACTCGTGGTTGGTAAAAATTCTGGTAGGGGGAGAATATTCCAGCAGCTTTTAAAATGCTGTACATTTGTATTTAGTAATTCGCTAGATCTGCAGCCAAAATCTGCATAATTAGTTAGTGCATTTATATTAACTCACTTGATATGGATAAATTAGAAATGTGTTAACACAACAATGGGTACACAAATGGTGAAAGTGTTGAATAGGCACAAATCTAACGAAATATTCCTTAGAGATACTTATGAAGTACGTATCAACTGATCTTGTTTACTTTGGGTRGAAAGAAAATAAGAAGAGATGGCCCCTTACCTCTGTCGTTTGACATCTGGTTTAACTTTCTGTACCAATAAGTTTATTGGTTTAGAAACATCATTGTTTTGAATGCTCTGTTTGATACTCTCTAATAAGGTGTTTGTTGCCTGCTCATCTTCTGCTATTATGGAGGATCTCTTCTCAGCAGAATCTGGGAAATGCAAGATTTTTTTTTCATGTCAGTAATAGAAGATAAATAAAATTGTTACAGAATYTCTCTTTAGTTGCATAAGCTTGTTTGTGGTCAAATGGCTTTGTCCATGTCTAGTTTTTGCTTCACAACAGAAGTGACAGGGTGTATCACTACCCATGTGCAACACCTTTCCTAACACAAAACCAAGAGACTGAAGAGTCTTCATTAAGTCTTCATTTTCTTATGTTATGTTGCTTATGATGATCTGCTATCTAAGATTTATGACTGTACTTGCAGCAAAGTTTTTTTAAAGCCTAAACCTATTTTTATACAAAATAAAATAAATCAGAAGAAAACACTATCACATTTCTTTATCAAATCTTTCTTGAAAACTACATAAAATTAATTGATATTGTAGGCAGCAGGAACATGGAAACTGAAACAGAAAATCCAAAACTATAGTAAACTGAAACAAATTTAACATGATATTTATCATCATGGTTTGTTGCTTGCAATGAAACTTCTAGATACTTAACCCTTTGGAAGACAGTGACTCAAGAAGTAATAAGTCAATTAACTGGCAAAAAATAAAGCAAAAAATAAAGCATCTGTAAATTACATAMTAGGCAGCAAACATGATTTGTAATGCTGTATAAATGAATGACAGCCTAGAAATCATAAAATCMTGCTGCTCTATCAACTGGATAGGTATTGTAGTTTACAAGAGTAATTTCCTGTTTTCCAAATATTTTCTCACATAAATGTTAAGCAAAYACCTTATTTTTTTCCAGAAAAACAACATAAAGAAAAGAGAAGTTCTCCTCCTTTATTTACATCCACTATGTATATTTATGCATTCTCATTCCTATCTGGATGTTTTTTAGGATACTTTCCCGAGAGTATGTCCCAGTCAATAAGCTCTTGTAAAATCAAGAGAAATACTGAATCTTACTCTGTGCTCTGACTGGAGTTTTCCGATCAATATGGTTATGTTTAGGACCTTCAGGACAAACACTTTCTTATTCCTTAAGATCCGAATTAGCATGCTATGTAAAACCAAGAAGTTTGGGATACAAAGTTATGTTCACTAATGATATGTAATAGAATCCCAGAGATTGCAGAAATAATGTCTTTACATAATGCCTTTTCTTTTCATTCCAAAGGAAATAACAGAAAGCAAAGGTTGTCTTTAAACTTACGATAATCAAGCAGTCTTGCATATTGTAGTATTTGCATATTTGCAGTATTTGCATATTGTTTGGAACTGAAACATTTATTTATGAAAATGCAAGACACCTTTCTATATAGTCTTCTTTCTCATAATTATATAAATATAAAAGGATAATGCAGTGAAAAATTTGAATCAAGTGAAGCTTATCTAACACTACAGCTAAACCATATGCTCCCCACTCCACTTATATAACATAAAAAGAACAGAATACATTCTGTTCTTGACATAAGAATACAGAATACCTTTCCACACAGAACAGAAAGATACTTTCACAAATAATTTGATATTTACACTATGTTGATTACCTAAGGAATGGTAGATGCTTCACATAACAAAACAGTTTTCTGGCTTGATGGGACATATGAATTTAAGATTCTACAAAGCAAMAATTTCTTTCTATAGCCTGTTCCATCTCCTTCCCGTAACACTTATTTTACTTACTTAAATTTCTCCAAGATATATACAGGGGCTCTCCAGGCTCTTGGTGGAGGTTAATATTGTCCCATAGAAGCTGGATGTATACTAGCTTGCTATCTTGAGCAAGAGATGTCAAAGGAAGCTAAAATCACGAGCAAAAGAAAAATGTTCAAGAAAATTCACCATGTGCTTGCTTATCCATTTAAAAGGCCACTGTTTTAACAGTTTTGCAATGACAACAAAGGATTATTTTATTAATCCTCCTCTAGATCTAACCACACACAACAAAATACCTGAAAGTGGTCAGTGTGAATTATTCAAAGAACAGTGGAAGAAGGCTAGCCTGTACACTTCTTGATGGACTCTCTCATCTTTACTGGGACAGAAAGGCAACAGAGTTTGTCTTGCAATAACTAACAGTCATTTTCAGTTTAGTTTAATGCAGGCTACTCCATTTTCTGTAGATATCTCCTCAGTAAGAGAGGGACATGGAGCTACTGGAGAAAGAACAAAAGACTACAAAAATGGTTAAGCATCTGCCATAGAGCTCAGAGAACTGGGACTGTTTAAACTAGAGAAGAAAAGGCTCAGGTTTGACTTCATTAATGAACTTAAATATCTGATGGGAGAAGACTGGGAAGGAGGAGAGAGTGGAAAGACAAAACAGAGAGAGACTCCTCACAGTGCAGCCCTGTGACAGGAGACAGTATGCACAATTTGAAACACAGGAAGTCTCAGCTGAACAAAAAAGTACATTTATATGCATATATGAGTGTAGTTGAATACTTGCATAGGTTGTCCTGTCCCTGGAGACACTCAGAAGCCGTCTGGACAGTGTCCTGAGCAATCTGTTTCTGCTCTTTGAGGAACTAAACCACATTATCTCCAAATGTCTCTTCCAACTTCAACTATTCTGAGAAACTCAGTAGAGTCAGAATAACATTTTTTTGCTATTAATGGAGGAAAGAATCTTAGCCCAGTAACGTAACAAGATTATAGACTTCAGTGTGGAATCAACACTGTGTCGATTGCAATGTGTTGCATTTGTGAGATGCTACAATTCTTCACAGGCTCATCCTGTTTCCTTCTACTTATCCATCTCTTTACAGAGACAAACTCTGGATTTCTGGAAGAGAACAGCTTGACTAGAATTCATGCGCTGTCTTTGCTCATTACTCTCTGAGATTTTTCTTTTTTTAAAACAAACCTATTTATATGCATTACAAAACCAGGAAACTATATTCTTTTATTTGATCCAAGCCACTCAGAAAGGATTTATTCACACTGAGCCAAAATCCTCCAGTTTAGCATGAAGATATCTGCAGTTCTGTTTTGGGGAAGGCACTTACCTGCACTCCATCATTGCAATGTTCAGATGTTAGAATTAGCCCAGGTAAGTTGCTAGGTAGATCCAACCGTCGGAAATACCAAACCAAGTTCCAGAAAATTATGGGATGTTGGTTAATGAATTTAGATGTATGAATAACTTGCTCTCCCTCATTTTCCAACAATGACTCAAGTTCTTTACGCAGTACCAAGGGGCTCAAATATGGTACAGAAACAGGAAGAGGGTTGGGTCTTTCCCTTAAAGGATCCTAGAAAAGTGAAGAAAAATTGCTATATCAAATAAAAGATTTTCTTCTGGAAACACTTTCAGGTTTACTTTCCCTGAAAAATCCCATTTCCACAGTTATTATTAACATTTAGAAAGTGTTTCTGGAATGAGTGAACACAATAGCTTTAATAGCACTAGCAGTTTTGACTGTAGAGGCATTTCTTCCTTAACCTTACAGAACAATCACTTAAAGTCTCTTAAAGAGGAGACACTCTTTGTTTCACATGCAAGCTGAACATAATAGACTCAATATTCCCTCTTACCTTCTGCTGTCTACTCTAACAGATGAACCTATTAGAACATTTGTAAAAGTTAGGAGTAAATGCCTGAAAACTAATGGCTTTTCATTCTTGGAAGAGAATGGTGTTTGCAGTAGTATATAGTTTGATATAGAACTTCATTTGTTTTTAAGAAAACATATCGTTCAGAAATGTACTGAATTAACTACTTCAAATCAAGTGGCACTGTTGACAGAGTACACTGAAAAAGCAATTCCCGAGAGACTATCAGATTGACTGAACATGTTTTTCAGGTTTTCTCTCATTTAACTATAAGTGAATACATTCAATCATGCCCACAACAAAAATATTCAACATTGCCAGTACCAGGATATTTTATATACTTCAAGTTCATTGTATTAAATATTTTGTTATCAACTGATGGGTAATTTCTAAACTTACCACAACTTCTTGCAAACTATTTGGAAGACTAACTGTTGAAATGCCATGAGATGGTCTCTGGGAGAGATCAATGTTCTGCAGGGGACCTCCAACACTGTGACTCCGAGTCAAAGATGCTCCTTTCTTTGATGAATTATTGGCAGATGTCTTCACAGTTCTGGGGCTTTTGCTCTGTTCTTCTGCTGTATCACTGTTGTGATTATGGAAAAAAATATGTAGCTATGAACTTACCCAGCACTGCTATTACAATAGAAAGGAAGCAGAGAAATGCCACCAAATATCCCCAGACCACTTTCTGTACTAAGAAATCCTATTTATCTAGTTAGTGCTGAGGTTACGGAAAAAAAAAAAATAAAAACAAACCAAACCAAGAAAACCCCACACTTCTCTGACCCTGCCTCCAAAGAAGCAGCTGGGTATAACCTGAGAGATGAACCTCGAAGCGATGCAGTTCTGTACTAGGTACTATTGCTCCCATACAGCTTTCCCTTGCTTAGAAACAGCAATATATAGTTTTGTCAGAACACAAAAATCAGCATTGTACTGTTCTGACAAAGCATTTTTAATCCTCTTTTTCCTTTTGTTAACTTTCCCTGAAATCAAAAACACAATAAAAATGTCCATAAAAGCAATTGCTAACTTGTATGCCCATATAGCTCAAAAAGTTTTAAATGAACTCTTCTGAACAGATAAAATACTGTTTTTGACTTGTCAAGTTCACCTGCTTGTCCCTCATAATTGAAACGATGAATAAATTGACTATCAAGTCCCTCTCCCCTGCCATCTAGCCTCCTAGCCCCTTTSCCTTTCTCCTCTTCCCCCAAAAAAAGGCAGCCAAAGGAAAGCAAAAGGCTCTCCTTCCAAATAAACTGCCAACAGAAATTAATTGAGCTGATTTTCATTGCTAAGTTTGTCTTGCTTTTGCCAAAAATACAACAGTTACAGAGGTTGACATAAAGCAGTTTCAGCTTTCCATTTTAAAATATTGACTATTACTACATCAACTGAATTTTTAACAGCCTGAAACAGGCTGTTTCAGGCTTAAACAGGCCAGAGTTGCCCGAGATTTCCAAGCTGAAAGATAATGAAGATGAAATCAATCAAAACATCATCAAAATGATCAATGAAACCCACAGAACAATTAAGCACTATTTCAGCTCTTCCCTCTTCCAATATGACACCTTCTCCGTAAGGCTTCTTCTCTCAAACTGTTTCCAAAGCTTTACTATAAACAATATTATTGCTTACATGTATTGTAAAGCAGTATGTAAAGCAAAATATAAACCAGTAGTATTTGTCATAGAATATATGATAAGGAAAGTTTTGTGYACTCTAAAGTACCATCTTCTCTCAAAGCTGAGGGTATCAGCCAAAGGGCTTATTTTTTCAGGCAAGACTTCCCCCCACCCCTTCCGTGCTGCACTGGGAAAGAAGCAACACCTAAGTTACTGTGTRTTTTTAAAGGTGACAAGAGTCAGCAGAACCTTTTACGTATTACTCAGCACATTCAGGTCATCTGAAAGGAATGCAAGAGAACCAATTGCAGCAGTTAAAACTATTTCTCCATATACCTTATTTGGCACACAAGACAATTTTCATTTAGAAGAGGAGTAAAAAATACTCCAAGTGCTGATTCCAGTTCTACCCACCTCTGTTCAGCCGTAGTGTTAGTTTCTTCCACTATGGTATGGCTGGACTGTGGCTGATCGGAAAAGCTGATCAGATCAGCAACTGCTGGATTGSACAAGAGCTTCTGCTCCAAGGGATCCGTATTTAAAGGAATGTTCCCACTCTGTAAACTATCTCCAGAAGTACTTTGCTTCAGAAAAAAACTAAGTTATAGCACAAACAGACGGGAAGAGAAACAAAAAGGTTGAGATATAAGCATAGCATTCTTTTGAAAGTTAGAACTTCCCACATTTGCACTCAAAAGCAACAGAGATAAGGACAAAGCGTTAAAAGCAGATGCGTGCATGAGCACAAACTGGAAACAATACAATTTCATCATATTTTAATGTATTTTTTTTACTGAAGCTTATATAAAAAAGTAAATTAACATATATATAGATCTGATCTGCAATACAGGAAATCTTACTTGAAGGTGGCAAAATTACAAATGGATTCATAAGTTTATAGATATTTCCACTTGCACATCACTGAAAGTGACTGTTGTTTTAATAAAGATGAGATTGGAAGAAATTTAATATTATAAACACTTGCTTTCCAGAGGTATTGTAAAAACACATAATATAGATGTTCTGCTTCAGCATTAAAGATAACTAATGGCAACTGTAGTTCATTGCAGTAAGAACTTATTTTTAAGTTATTCTGAGATCAGTTTCAGTTCTAATCTCCACACTGCAATTTAAAAAGGTAAAAATAATAATTTGAGAAGCTTAAAATAAATTGGACAACTACGAGAAAAATAAGAAGTTGCAGTATTTGTAACTGAAACCTTTTCCTAGGATATGTTAGAGAACTGCTAGAATTTACTCTGGGAGGACTTCTTTGTTCTCAAATTTCATTTTTTTTCACCACACATGATCCATTAGCTCTGTTTTAAAACAGATATATTGCCTTCTCTATAGCAGTGCTTATAAAAATATGAAAACAATTCTTTTTTTTTAAGGCAATAAAAACCTCAATGAATCTGAAATTTCTCTGCTTTTTCCTCTTTTTGCTAGAGGCCTCAATAGCTTACAAAATTTGTAATTTTGAAATGTCCGGTAAGCAGAGATATGCTCTAGCACATCTAGACAGAACTACAAGGAAATAAAACTAAGATATGTTTCTGTATAAATACAGCTGTCTATAAGTGCAAAGGCAGAAATAAAACATCTGTAAAATTCACTAACCTTGCAGAACCTCGCAAGTCTTTAAATTCAACTTGAAGTAATGGTAGAAAAGTACTTTTACAGAARGGGCAGGTGGTATTCAGGTTTGAATCATCTGCTGTCCATCCAGCCATAATTTCCTCATCATAAACCAAAGCACCACAAGCTCTGCACTGGGAGCAACTTGACATCAACACCTAAACCATTGAAGAACCAATATTATTATCTGTTAGAATTCCTTTATAATTGGCTTTAGTTACATTGTATCTACAGGATTTTATTAGGTTAAGTTACAGAATGGTTAGAAAAACATGAGATTTATTACCACTTTCCCACTGCAAAGTACATTATTTTTTCCACATAACTTTTACCTTTGAAGCACAAATACTAATCATATACTTTTTTTGCTAAGTATTTTCAAACACAGAAAAAGCATTATCCCAGAAGTTAGCATTTGCAATTGTTCACCATTGTGAAGACTTCAGCACTTCAAGCATCTGAGTCAAAGTATAGCTGCTTTAAAGAAGCGTACAGTGAAAATCAAAGTTGATTCCTAACTAGTAAAAGTTTCATCATGAGATTACACTGGAAAATACCATCAAAAATAATTTTGTGCTTGCAAGAAAAAAGCTACTACATTTTTTCATCCTCACTGGAAACAAGTACCACCAGCAGAAACTCACCACCACAAAAACATATAATACGCTATAGTTCAATGTTTTGTTTTTTTTTTGATTTCCTATGTTGTGTCCTTTATCTAATACCATTTGTAAGTCTGACAGACATAGATGTCCAAAAGACTAAACATAGAAGAAAATTATATAGGAAAACAAAAAAACAATCAAAAAAGCTGAAAGAAAAACAAAAAAGAGCTGAAAGAAAAATAAAGTCATTAAGTTTTGCTGCACTCCTCATTTTGCCCCTTCCCTCAAAAATTTCCTTCTCTAATTATAACAGGGATCTAGTAAAGCATTATATTTTTTTAATGCTCCTACCAAATGTGAACTAAAAGTTCCAAATATTTCAGGCAAAAATATGGAATGTTTTGTATTGTGAAAATTCCAACCACAATTCAGCTTAAGGGATAGTCAGGTAACACATTCATCCATATCAAATAATTGTATATTCCATCTATGTATTTATTCATCTTACCTCCATCGCATAGTTCTGGAAAATACTAGATAAACTAGTATTATGGGAAGAACTGTGCTCTGACTTCTCAGAATCCAGGCCCTTCATACTTCTTGGAAATAAAACTTCACCTGTAGAAAAAGGACAGCTAGGCTCTTTATTTGAAGAAATAGTAGTTTATTATTCCTGTAGAATAGAATTCTGATTGAGTAAAAATATGGTAATAGAATGTCTCTAAAAAAGTGTGCAATTAACTTCATTAGTATTGCAATATATAAAATGCAATTGTTGTGACAAACATTTCAACATTCTTTCTGTCTAATACAGGACCTAGCATATCGGCAAAAGGAAAAATAGTCCAGGTAACTGAATTCTGAGTTAAAAAAAAAAAAATTAAAAAGGCAAAAAAAAAAAAAACAGTAAAATTGTTCAAATACACATACACTTGTGAAATTGTTCAAGGTTTCCTCAATAAAAAAATTTAGATATAAACAGGAAACAGAAGGACAATATGAGATGCAACACATTGTGTCAGTCACACCACTACTGTAGCAAAGTGCTCCCTGGTACTACCTGCTTTAGGAACAGATGGATTATACAGGTATTAGCTTTGCCCAAGAAGTTGAAAGAAGTCAGAACATATCAATCGTTTTTTTAGAGGAAAACTATCAGCACTACTTACTTTGATAATCCCAGTCAAGCTTTCCCATTCAAAATCACTACCAGAGTCACTTCTTTGTAAAGAAGGCACTTTTGTTTCTTCAGATAATAATTTATGCCTATGAACAAATTTTAAATTCCTCTGTTGTTCAAGGCTGCCACCATGGCTGACAGTTATAGTCAGTTCTTACAGTCCTAACCAACTGGAACTAGAAGACATATCTTCAGACTTAAAATTTTTAAGAACATATTCTTAAACACTAGAACATACTCTAGACACAATCAACTGATGTCCACTATAGCTCTTCTTCTCTTGATGCACACGGGGTTCTATTACTCTTCCTGTATTATTAAATCTCTATTAAACTGGTATTATCAAACCTACAAAGGGATCTAAAACAAACCCAAAATTGGTTCAGCAACTTTTTTTTTTTTTTTTTTTTTTGGCCAGATGAAAAAAATCAAGTCTTATTCTTACAAAATATGGTAAAGCTTTAAAAAATTCAGGACAAGAGAAATTGAAAATGATTAGATCCTTCATTTTGCTTCAGAAATGAAAAAAAAAAAAAAAA